ACTCGAAAAATAGCTCATCTGTGTTGGTGTTCGAATGTATTATTATTATAATTATAATTATAACTATTATTATTATTATTATTATTATTATAACTATAATTAATAATATCATTACAACAGAAATTGCTTATGTTTATGCTATGCTAAGTTACGATATACTAAATCATTACCGGTATATTTCTGAAAGTTTTGCTTAATTGTTGTTTTTTTGTGATGGTTATTATTAGTATAATAATAATAATTAATAATATTAATACAATTGTTATTTTTATTGTCTCTTCGTTCTGGTCTATCAATTTGTTATGTTGCCGCTGAGTCGGTGAAATTTTTCAATGTGTGTTTTTGGAAATTGAATAAAAGAAAATTTTTTAAAAAAATCTGCTATACAAGAAACAATAACCTTTACACTTACTTAGCATTAGCCAAAAACATATTCATGACAATCAAAAAGTAACAAATAAGTATAATAGATCAATGTGTTTCAAGGGGAGGGCAGTACGGGTAGAGGCATTAATTAGCTTTCGATTGCACGACGACGGTAGGACGTATAGCGTAATAATCTACGTATGCAAAGAACGTAGGACGCCATGTGGGACGGTCACGCATGAGTGATTCCGTTCTAGCGTCGCGTTGTTGCACAAATCGAAAGCTCCCTACTGTTGGCAGAAGACTGATCAAGATTGAGCGTCGAGCAGAGCCTTAAAAAAATAGGCTGATATCTAATCCAAAATTTCATTTCATGGTAAAATAATCAGTAGTTAGGAAATACAGAGGATTGAAGGGGGAAAAGCAGTTGATGCATCTTACCCCTCGAGTGGGTTTAGTTGCAACATTGATCGGGGTAAGTTGACTCACACCCTAAAAACAAATAAAAAGCCAGGAAATTAAAGCCAAAATAACAAATAATGTTTTATTTACACAAAGCACAGCCTTAAGTATAAAGTACCACTGCATAGCAAATAACATAACATAACAAATCATGTTTAATAATACTAAGCGAGCATCTTAATTTTATTTGCCTTATTTCTCAGCATTCCAAGCATACATTTATTTTTAAAGATAATACCGGAAATGATGTTCTCACACGGCCAAGATATTCCAAATTGCTCATTTTATTCGTGGATCATTTTATTCGCGGCCATTTTGATTTCATCTATGCTATTAGATGGAAAATCATGAATGTGTAGGAAAGCAAGAATCTGGTACAACACACGTAGCGTCACAGAAGCCTGTTTAACAAATACAAAGTTGAATTTCAAAAGAGTTATTAATAAGGGTACCATGATTAATGGTAACAGAGTTGTGGGATTTACTTTAGGAAGAATTTTTAATATTCCATACCACCAATTAGTGAGTCCATGCTTCAAATAACCATATTATTACTTTTTCTATTTGCTCTACGTATCTGTGTGAACGTACCCTTCCCTTTAAAAATAGGTCCCTGTCGCTGAACAAGGCCCATTGTCTAAATTACATTAACTTTTTAAGGCCGAGACTTAACCGTGTTTTCTTACATTGCGGTAACTTAAGAATGAATTAAGGAAAGATTTTATGTATTCAATAAATTGTTTAAAGATTTGTTGATTTACCATCTATCCACACATTTAAGGACAGGGTATCTGATATTCACATCCGTTAATTTTCTCAAGTGAACATAATTGACTATCAACGCTGTGCGAGTATACTCATACGAGATTTATACACATTATAGGATGATGATGATGATGACTTAGTATGTGGTTCTGTGGATGAGTAGTAAATAACTGTTCGAAATGACAGTCCAGTCCGTATAATTCAGTTTGTTTATAAGGGATCCCAATAGATGCAAGATCAGTTAGTAATATTTTAGTATTCATGTTACGTTAACATCTGTTGATCCGTTGTTCCTACGTGATATCAAACGACACCGCCTTGTGAACACAACCACTTATCCTTATCATCATCATTATAATTATTTAATATTTTTCTTTGGTAATTATAATTGATTGATTGAATGATTTTATTCAGTTCCATTACATACAAAAAAACACAAAGCAAACAAAAACAGGGAAGACAAGGACATAATACTAAGGATGACCCAAGAAAGGTAAAAAAGAAACCTTATTTCCGTTAGGGTCCTTACATTAACAAGTGAATACAAAACACCGAAGTAAAAAACAGCAGCATAAAAACCGGCAAAAACGAACAAAGAGGGGTAAAATGAACTATAAAAAACATTGCAAAGAAGTGTGAAAATTCAATTCAAGAATAAAACCATAACAAAGCTCGACAAGTTTAAACTTTAAAAGCCTAAAAGATTAAAAGAATTAGACAAGTTAAAGTTTAAAATTGTTAAGATTGAAATGGTAAAAATGTTACCATAAAACAGCCAAAGCAAATACCGTACATTCGGATAACGTTTAAAATGTTCTTAAATATTGAGTTTTAACAATTTAGTTTGAATCATTAATTACCTTTTGTTTTACACATACCACAATATTCATTAGAACATCATTCGGATAACGTTTAAAATGTTCCTTAATATTGAGATTAATAATTTAGTTTTATTAATTACCTTGTTTTTTACACATACCACAATATTCATTAGAACATTCATCTTCTTCCCAGTCATATCCTCTAGATTTGTCTATAATGTGGCATCTCTGATGATGATGTGTTTCGAGGTCTCTTGCATTAGACATATAATCAACTGAACTGTTATCATTCCAGTAGTAAGTTGATAAAGCCTCATCTATTCGCTGGAGGCCTATATATACACGATTGTAATTAGAATCTTTAACAAGTTGCTTGACAAAGTTGTCTTCCTCCAGTGAATGAATTGATACAAGGGCAGCATTTACTGATTGACAGTTTATCACCGCATCATCGAAATCATTGTTGTTACATTCAATTGTATAACATGCGTTTTGAAACACAGCACCAGTACACATAACTATAATAAACAAACAATAATTATTACATGAATTCTATTCATAAACATTAATATTTTCATAAATTAGCA